ACATATAGCAAACTGAGTTCGTAGGCGGGGTTTGGAGGTCTATTTGGGGTATACTTGAAATCTGTCCCAGAATCCCCCTTTTGGCCTATATGATTTGTTTTGAGAGTTTTTATGCAATTTTTGTGCATTTAGTAAAGATAATCTTTGTTTTTTTATAAATGATATAACCAATAATTTGATAACTTAAAATATGTTATATCATTATAAAAAATTAAAATATCTAATTATTTTAAAATATTTAATATTTTGACTTAAATAATAGAATAAACGACCGCTAATCTTATTTTCTTTATTTGATTATCTATTATAAAGCCTTTTTTCAGTCTCAGAAAAATACCTTTTAACTAAAACTAATACTCCTATTATTTCTATTTACTTTATCTTTTCAGTTTGCATTTGATTTAACCTAATGTTCAACCATATTTAGATTAAATCTAAAATGAATCGTTGTACTATTTTTTCTATATTTCTTTGCATAATTAACTACTAATTATTTTTGTTTAATAAAATACAAAATATGTTTTAAAACTTTATATTTAGAAATTTTACATTTGACAACTCTTTTATGTTTGATAATATTATGTTTTGTATTTTGTAATATTATTTATTGGTGTAATTGAAATTAAGAAAAAAATAAAAGTTTTATAAGTTGATCAAATAAATATTATGTAATTCATACAATAATTTTGTATTTTATATAATAAATCTGTATCTTATATTTTAAGATGATCTGCAAATCATACTATAACATTTTCTTTACAGTATTTGATTTTGAACTTTTTAAAAGCTAATTTTTATTGTTTTTAAAATTTATCTAATAATAAGCATACCTATAGCAAAAAGTATACTTATTTTCAAAACTTTACAGTATATATCTTTAAAGTTATAGATTTAATTTTAATTATAAATAAATTTAAATATTTTTATATTTTTTAATTTATTATATAATATTAAATAATAATCAATTTTAAAAGCAAATAAACTTTTATAACTAGAAAAAAAACTGATATTAAATCAAAAACAAGTATAACATAAGTAACTAATTATATATTAATTCAATATTTAAGAGAAGAAATGCGAGACATATTAAATTAATGTATGTTTAAAATTATATAATCATTCACTTACACATCAAATTAATCAAAATTATAATTTTAATTATAAAATTCTAAAAAATAAAAAAATAAAAATATTTATAACTTATTGTTTAATAAAAAGATTAAATTAAATTAATTAATTTATTTTCTACTTTTAAACTAAGTCTAATTTTCTTGTTAATCTAAAAATAATAATAATATTTATTTAAAATTAAATTAAATTAATTTTTAATAATTATATTTAAAAAATATTATTTACCAGTATTAGATCTTTAATCTTAAGATATATAAGTACAAATTTGATGTAATTTTGGATTTTCAAATTGATTTACTAAAAAACTTGAAATGCTTTAAAAGATTTTGTTTAAGAACTTCATTTTCTTCAATATTATTTTCAAAATCTGAATAAATCTTATTAATTCCTTTTTTGAAAGACCTAATATTGTCTTATGTAAATAATAGACAATACTATATCTAATACCTTTAGTTAATTTAAAATTATCATATAATAATAAATAAAAATAAAATGCTATTATTTGTCCTAGTTTTAAAGGTATTATAACATACTGTACATAATACAAATTTTAATACAACATACTGAAAAGATGCGGCAGTATTTTATTATTGCCCATTTTTCGCTTAATATCGGTTATACTACATCCGCTCCAAGTACTTGTGTCATCATATTGACGAACTACTTCAAATAAGTGGAAAAAGGACATACTGTAGCTTTGCTTATAAAAGATAAAAAATAATTTTTTCGGAAGAAAGAGATAGGGAATTATTAGTATGATTGTATGATACCAAGACAATAAATTTATACGAAATATGATGAAACTTAATCCCATCATTCCTCTACAATTTTCTCACATTTATTCGGAAAAAATAAAGAGAATTATTGTTTATTACTCCAAGGAATCGAAATAATTGCAGAACAATTATGAATAAGTTACCTAAATTTTCACAGCCCATTTGTTTTTTAAGTCAATTGCATTATTGTTAACGCTAAGCCTTTTCAAATACAAAAAGCTTACCAGCAAACGATAGTCATTTGATAATACAAGTTCCCGTAAACCATTCACCTAACAACATATTCTTTGGTGCTAAATATGTTTTTAGGATTATCACCACCTACCAAACACAAAAGCGTTTCTCGGTTTCTTGGACCATGCCCCGTTCACCGCGAAAACATAAGAATGTTCCTCGGATTATCACCACCTACCAAACACAAAGTGTTTCTCGGTTTCTCGGGTTCGTTTCCACCTTGAAACACAAAAAAGCGTTTCTCAGCTTCTCGGAGAGAAGAAACTTGCAGAATAAAAGTACTATCTTTTTGCCGGTATTAAGCAAGATTTTACAATTATAAAAGTAGTCAGATTAATGCATGACGCGTAATTCTGTATTTAACGCGTGAAAATCAACCCAACCTCACGTGATCCGGTCATGACATCACCTGCGTACTCATCACGCAGGAGTCCATTTGGTCAGCTCTCCATTCATAAACTTTCAAACGAATTTTAAAAATAACATTAACAATGCACTGGAGGAAACAATCCAAGGTCTATTCAAACCCACCCATAAAAAAGACTACAGTAAATAAACAAAAAACGTTACGTTCATCGATGAAAAGTCTATTGAGTAACAACAAAAAATTACGAAAAGAATTTAAAACATTAAATAAGTGGCTTATTGAGAAGGAAAACAAAAGGAAGTTAAATGCTATTGATGAAACTAGACATGCCGTTTTTAAGAAAGTGAGAATTTCTTCAAGTGTAGTTAACATTGGTAATGTACATCATGAACGGGATTCAGGAAATGCATCGGTAAATCGTGAATTTGGAAAAGGTGCAGTATGAAGAAAAGGTGCAAGAAATAAAAGGCGTTCATCAATTATTATCTCCGTCGATTTCAGAAGATATAGATATACAGAATAAACAAAAAATAAAGAGAAAGCGCGAATCATCACCACCGATTCCACAAAAGTTCTCATTCACACCTGCGGAACAAGGCTCATATGTAGAGTCAATCCTGCAATACGTTGAAAGAGCACTTTATAAGTTTATTGTAAAACATGAAAATTATATTCCTTCTGAAGTTGTTAAAAACTTTACAGCCAAATGTTATCCTCCACGCCAAGCCGATTTTTCGGATGCGGATTTGCTTTGTATTTTGAATTTTATCATTCAAAATATTACTTTATTTACGACTGGACATTCTAATCAGACATTGTTCCATGGAGAATATAAGATCGATCCGTCCGATTTACTTGAATCTTTTAAAATCGAGGCACGCAACCATAATGCCCATGTGATTACACAGCCAATGGGAAGATGGAACGATGAAGAGTTACAAAGGTTGTCTACATTGGCTTTAAAAGTTATCGTGTGCCTTGGTAAGTTTTAAAAAAATGCAAGTGTAGATTTCATTTTATTGTTCAATCTGTTTACCTTTTTTGATTTTATTGAATAATAGGAGATAATGAATTATTCGATCCATTGATAAAAATCAAAAATGAGTTGAATGATAAATTAACAGAACGATTGACCTTGACGATAGAGAACAAAGACGAAGATCTTGCAGATCTGGTGGATTTCGCCTTGGATAACATTAATAAAATTAAATCATCAAATAAAGAAAATATAAAGCAGATTTTACAATTGGTCATGAATAAAGATCATACATTTTTTAACATCTGGAAATGTTTGGCATTCCGGAAAGATAAAAGAATGATTTTTGAGAAGTTCATAACCATGATGAATATACAGTTTGATATGGTAAGTACATAATATTTATCCCTCAAACGCTTTGATTTGATATATAATTAATTCTGTAATACTATATTCAACAGGACTTGGAAATCAAATGAGTTTAGATGGATGTTTCTTTTTTTCTGGTAACAATGCGGTGTCCCATACTAATTGATTATTATTTCTACATTGTACGATCAATATAATATGATACACCCTTATATATGCACATATGCGATTCAATAAAAAACAAAATATTAGCATTAGTTTATTAGTTAGATTTTGATTATCAAAAAATATATATTTTTTAATTTTCATTTTTTAATATTTATTTTTTGGTTAATTATTTATAATAAAAATTATAAAAAAATTCATTTTAAAATTTTTAAAAAATTTTATTATTTTTTTTACTTCTTTAAGAAACAAATTCTTCATTTTTTTAAATAAATTAAGTAAGTCTTTAGGTTTTCTTCAAAATAGATTCTTTATTAATAATACTAATTCTTTTAAAAATTTTATACATCTAATTCAAAATATAAATTAAATTAAATATATATGAATTAAAAGCATTATGATATTTTTATTTTAAATTGTTTAATATAAAAAAAAATGTATTATAAGTATTAATTTATTTTATTTTTTATTATAAGATTATTTATTAAAAACTTCTGTTAAAATTATAATTAAAAAACTCTTAATTCATTAAGTAACTAATATGGCTTAAAATAAAAAAATAATAAAGTTATTAGCTTTTATTGATTAAACATATTAAATAATAACTATTTTGTTGTTATAAGTAGATTTTATTGATTTTATGTATAATTTTATTATTATTTCTTTTATAAAATTAAAAGTTAAAATATATGAAAATTTGGAATTATTTGATCAAATTAAATATTTTTAGTTTATATTATATATATAATAAAAAAAAATACTTGCAATTATATAATAGATTGCTAATATATATATTGATAGATATTGATATTTTATTAAACCTTTTAATGATTATACTTCTTATTAAGCTGATTTTTTAATAAACTGATATATGCAAGTTATAAGATATCTGACTTTACAATTCTAATGTATACACTTTCTTTATTTTGATTATAATCTTTATTTAGAAGAAAATCAGAAAAAGAATTTACATCAGAAAAATTAAATATTAAGAGAATTATTATCATTTTCTTTAAATCAAACTATTGAGTTTTTCTTAAATGTAATATTTAAAACTAAATTAACTGACTTTTCTTCTCTTATGATTCATCAAGAAAAAAAATTTAATAACTTTAAAGATTATATCATCTGCTTAAAGAAGAATTACTTATATTCTAAAAAAAAAGTTATCAAGAAAATTATAATAAAATTTAAAGCTAAGCCATTTAGTTAAAAATCTTCAAATAATTACTAATATATTCTTAATGCTGATAATTTTGAAATAAATCTTTATCTTTTTGTATTTTTTTCTTTTAAATTTCTATATATTTTCAATTTTAATATTATTTAATAAAATTTGCATATTATTATTATTTGTCTTTTACTTATTTAATTTTTCAAAAGCTGACAATCATATTTTTGACTCTTTCACTTTTATTTTTGTTTTTTTTAAATAAAAATTTGTCATTATTATTTGTTATCATATATTATCATATCATCTAATCAAAATAAAATTTCATTTTATTTAAAATTATTTTTTAAGTTTAAAATATAAATGGTGTGAATATGTTATAAGTAAAATACTATTATTTATTAAAAATCAATTGCTTTATATTCAATTTTATATAAAGTTTAAAAAAAAAAATTAATTTAAAAATAAATAATTTATTTATTTATATTATTGCAGATTTCTTAACATTTTTTGCGTTAATTTTAATAATTATATCAAGTTTTAATAGTTTAATAAATTATGTTAGTTTATTTTAGTAAGTTTTAATTTTAAAAATTTTTTAATAATTTCGTATAATATTACTTGATATTAATTTTTAAAACAAATTATAAATGATTAAAATTCTAAATATAGATTTTAGAATATATTCAAATGATCAAAGTTTCAGATATCATTTTTAAGATATATTTTGAAAATTCAATATTCTTGATATTATTTTATAATAAATTTCAAATAATCAATTATTTTAAACATCAATTTTTATTTTAAATTATATAATATTTAATCATTTTTCAGATATTTTCAAAATGTATCTGAATATTTTCAGTAGTATTTTTTTATATGTTTATTTTATAGAAATAGTTTCTTGATTTTTTACTAATTATTTTTTGATTTTTTTAAGATAAATCTTTTGCAAAATCAAATTAGTAAGTTTTCTTTTTTTTAATGAATTCTTTATTATTCTATAAGGTTTTTTTCAAGGTGGATTCTTATTAATTTAATAATTCTTTTATTTGTTTTAGGAATGAATCTTTTACATGATCAGATTAGTAAGTCTTTAGATTCTTTAGATTTTTTCAGATAGATTCTACTAATAATTCTTTTATTTTTTTTTTAGAATAGATTCTTTATTTTCTTGGATAGATTATATAAGTATTTCAGTTCTTTTTCTTCAGAATGGTTCTTAATTCTTTATTAATTCTTTTATTTTCTTTTTTAGGACTGATCTTTCATTTTTTAGATAATTAGATATATCTTTAAGCATTTTGGGATTTCTAATTCTTGATTTTTACCAATTTTTTTTTTTTTTTTTTAGAAATGAATCTATAAATAAATAAATTATATGTATAGTATTATTTTTTAGATGTTTTTTAATAGAAATTTTAATTTATTATTACAAATAATTGTATTAGTATAATTTCAATTTATTTTATAATTTAAAAATATAAAAAATTTTAATAAAATATATTTATATTTATAAAACAAAATTTTATTTATTCAAAATATAACTAAATTAATAAATTTGAAGTAAGTTTGCATTTCTTTTTAAAAGAATCATTTTTTCTACTTTAACTGGTTTCAAATTACTTCTTTTACTAGAAATAACATTACCTATTGCTGAAAACAAATGTTCACTAGAAACTAATATTACTGTTATTCCTAAATATTCTTTAGCTAATTGATTTAAAAAAGGAAATTTTGTTTTGTTATTTTCCTACCACATTAAAAGTATCATATTCATAATAGAATCATTTTTATATAATAAATCTACATTACTTTGTATTTCCAAATCATTATTATTATCATTATTATTATTAAATTTGAAGATTTCATATTTATTAATAAGTAATGTGGTTGCTTTTAATTTTTCACTATCAGTAAATTTTTGTAATTTTTTAGTATAAGGATTTAATATAATAAAGATTAATCCAATCTCTATAGAAACAGTCCAATATTTATTTATTGCTATTTCTAATGCTTTTATAACTAAAATAATTAATCCATCTGTTTCTATTGATTTGGAAATATCTAATTTTTTTTTGACCTTTTTCATCAATTTTAATAATGTTAGCTGTTGTATTATCAGGAATTTCATCAAATTCTTCTAAAATTTTTCTTTAAATATTTGTTATATTATTATCAAAGAATAAATCTATCAATATATCAGAATTTTCATCATTTTGATTATCTTAATAAAAATCTAATATTTCTTTAATATGATTTTTTAAAATTAAAATCATTAGATATACCAAAGATATAGTAATATAATTAGATCCTCCTAATAATTTGGTAACTATTTCAAATTTTTCCAAAATTTTAACCAAATCTTTCATTAAATTCTATTCATTTTCATTTAACATAATTCTTTCTAATTTTTTTCTATCACTCTTGTTTTCTTTAATATTATGATCAGCTTTTAATTTATTTGGTAAATAAATTAAAGCTTTTTTTAATTCTAATAATCTTGTTCAAGAATAATATGAGGAATTCCATCTAGTTAGAACATTTTTAACTGTTTTATAAACTTTAGGATAATTAAAATTTTCTTGTGTTACTACTAAATGTTCTAATTGTTTAAGTGAACTAAAAAAGTATACTAATTTTCTAACTCTTAAAACAAAAATCTGAATATTTTGATTCACATTTAAAGCTTTTCCTATAACTAATTGTAATGTATAAGAAGCACATGAAATTCTATTAATATCATACTCCTTATCTAATAATCTAATAGCTTTAATCATGCTATCAGTATTATCTGTTGTAATAAATATACTTTATGATTTATATTCTAATCATTTATAATATCTTCTAATTTTTCTTAATAACTTCACCAGTATGTGGATATTCAACATGTTAAAGAACTAAAAATGCTTCTTGCATTATAAATTCATTTGATATCTAATATGTTGTAATTCCAATATATTCATATTGTCCTCTAAATATCCAAAAATCACAAGTTAAACTAATTTTATCTATTTCTTCAAAGAGTTTTTTTGAATCATCTCTTTCTTTATTAAAAAATCCAGTTAAAAGGCTATCTAAAAATTCTTCAGTTGGAATCTCAAAAAAAGAATTTAAAGCTAAAATAAATTCTTTAAAGCTTTCATTTTCTAAAATATAAAATGGTTGCCTACTTTCAATAATAAATTTTAAATATTTTTTTTTTAAAAAAAGTTTTTGATCATCACTTATTGGATAAGATTGAATAATATAATCTCTCATATCTTGTTTTTCATGAATTTGAAGCTTATTTAAAATAAAAAATATAAATTAATTAAATAAAATCATATTTAATATAATTTAATTTTTAAATAAAAAATATATATTTATTTATCTTTTCTTTTCTGTGGGATTATAAATTTTATGTATTTTAGATAAATGATTAATCATATTTGTAGTTAATGGTCTATTCTTTACTTTATGATTACATATATCTTTTGGATTTTTAACTGAAATTGATACATCTACTTGATAATAATTAAAATCATTTATAATATTAAAATGATTCTAAAGAAAACTCTATTTTGATTTTTCTTTATTAAACTTAGGTTTTTTTTACAAGTCTATTAGAAGTTTCTTTAGAATTATTATCTAAAATTTCAATGTTTTCAAATTCATTCATTATTTTTTTGTGAAAAATAAAAAAAAAATTATAATAGTAATAAAAATATTTGAGTTTAAAATAAAATTATTGTCTTTATTGTGTAAATTTTTTTAAAATGCATGATAATGTAA